TTCAATATGGTCATTTTTCTTATTAATTAAATAAAATTTATTGATTCAATTATTTGGAGATATAAAATGTCATACACCGTCCCTTGAATACATATTAATATACCTTCCTTTACGTAAACCAAGATGTATGAAAATACTTGCGCGAATAGCGCCATTGCCACCGAAACAAAGGCATTACCAAGACATAATTACAAATGATACTTGTTCAAAAGACTCAAAATTAAAGCTCATTTAGTCATAGACAATCAAAACTTAACTGATCAAAATTTGACTATTGGTTATTGGAACATAAAGAAATATAAAATTAATTTCTTTTTTGGCTTTTAGTAGTTTAAGAGATTAAATAAAATATTAATTGTTGCTAATATAGAGAAATAAAAATGGGGTTGAGAAGCCACCGTTTGGAGGCACCACTTAGGTGAAAGCGAATGGAAGATGGTGCATAGGAGAGAGAAATTTTTAGCTCGAGGCCTTCTTTTTATTTTATTTTTATTTATTTAATATTTTTTATATAATATTTATATTTATAATTATTTTTAATTTAGTTTGTCCCATACCCTCAATGTATGTATGTATGTGTCTAATTCTTTATACAATTGTCACTGGTTGGTTGTTTCATTCAATCTCTATTATGTCTCTTTGCAGAAACAAATCAAAATCAAAGCCATGAACATTTAATTTATGATAAACATCCTTACAAAGTCTATTAAAATAATGTAATATTATTTTATTATTTTACATTGTTGCCACTTCAACTTATCTATAAGATCCTTACCTATCCAATAAGGTAAATAATTGCACAAGGATACAAGGAGGATTTCCTTACTTTTCAATCCATAATATACTGCTAAGTTTCACTTTTTTTTTTTTTTGAAGGATAAGGGCTTTACCGGACCGGAACCTCTCACAAGTCCTCCCGCCCCGGGTTAGCAGGTTAGATTCTTTGAAAGTGAGAGAAAAGGGTAAGGGAATCCGTACCCCAATGTGTCTCTAGTGGGGATTGAACCCCATAAGGTAAAACCCTTTCCCATTAGACCAAACTTAAATTAGCTTGGTAGTTTCTTTTTAATTTACTCCCAGTAGTTATAGGTAGGCAGTGTCGTGTAGCCATATAGGCCACACGATGTATTCCGTGCTCAAACGGATCATGCTTAAAATAGGTTAAGAAATAATTATGTTGTGTCTAGTTTGTGTCGATCTTTATAAATGAAATCTATTCATAATATGACCTTAGTGAATAAATGAAAGCAAAGAACCAATTTCATCTGTTGGATTATGTATGTTGAAATATAAATCTGGATTCAATTGTGTTACGTAAAATAAAAGCAAATATACGCTGAAGTAAATTGTACGGAGTATTTTTTTTTTATTTTATTTTTAAAGTAGACACATATTTACAATTCGTTATAAATGTTTTTGTTTAAGTATATATGAATTTAACTCGTTAAGAATATTTAGCTAGTGCGTAGTAGCATTCCTTCTTTTTAAAACGTTTGAAATAACTCTCATAAATAGTGTTTGGACAATTATGCCCTCTAAAATGTTTATTAGTTTATAGCTTATTTTCCTCATTAATGTTAATTAATAGTTTTTTTTAAAAATCTTACAAAATTGTATTCTAACATTTATACCCCTGAATATATTCCATCAATGAATTTTACAACTAAATTTGTAATATAAGGCCAAACAGAAATAACCCTGAACATGGATTGCTATGATTTTCTTTCATTTGATTCATAAAGTGTTGATGAAATTAGTAATAAAGGTAAATCAAATTGATTATTAAAGTAAGGAAGTCGGATATCAGTGTGAAAAGTTGTAATATTACAAAATTGCGCGCCATTAATGGGTTTATATACATTGCATTGGTAGTCAAATTATTGATGATATTAGCTAGGGTTGATATTGGTTCTTGTTCTCATTTTAGTATTAGGTTCCCAACTGATCTTAAATCAATCTCTATCTCTAGTTAGACATCACCAAGAACTTTCTAAAATCTGCATGAAATAATCACTATTGTGCAATTTTTAGATACCTCACCAACCATGATTCAAATTGATGTTGTTCTATCACCATTGGCTTTTGTCAAAGTTCATAAATCAGATTCATTTAAATAAAATTTTAGATATAATTTATTTTGCATAGTTAGGCTCTGTTCTCTTACGTTGAAATTCAGTTCAGTTTAACTCAGTTCAGCTCAGCTCAGATCAGTTCAGTTCAGCTCCTAATTTCCTTCTCTTATAAAATATTCATTTCAGTTCAGTTTAGTTTAGTTCAGTTCAGCTCAGTTCAGTTCAGCTCAATTCAGTTCAGTTCAGTTCAGCCGATTTCAGTCAATGAGAACAGGCCCTTAGAATTTATATTCCAATGTCTAGTGAAAGTATTTTGTTGTTGCATTATTTGTTTCATATAAATACTCCCTCCGTGTTTTTTTTAAGTGATACATATTGACCGACACATAGTTTTAGGCAATTTAATTGACTTAAATAAAATAAGAGATAAGTGGGGTAGTGGAGTATTAAAAAATTGTTAAAGAAAGATAGTGGGGTTGATAGTTTATTGAAAAGTAATGAATGTGAGAGGAAAGATATAATAAAAAAGTAGTAGTGGGTTTGGGTGGGGGCCATGAGAGGAGAGAGATATAATATTTTAGTGTATTGTTTTGCCAAAAAAGGAAATGTATCACTTAAAAAAACACGGCCGAAAATGGAAAATGTATCACTTAAAAAAACACGGAGGGAGTAGTAGTAAATAAAACAATTTCTACCCCAAAAGTTAACTATCTTTGCTCTCTTTAATTAGAATTTTAAAATTTTTTTATTGATATCTTTTTACTTAAATGATACCAACAACCCCGTTAAATCCGCCAGAATCACTGTTGCGCATTTTATGGATACCACAACAACCATATAAGGTAAACTATAAGTCAAAACTTCACATGTTTTTGAGGTTTTTCTTTCCGGCTACTGACTTTTGTAATAGTTCATAAAACAACTTCATTTTAACATGTAACTAGTGTGTGGCCCGGGCTTTGCCCCGGATGATACTTTGAATAATTTCGTTTTTATATTAGACGCTTTAAAAGACGTACTTTTTTTTTGTTTTATATTACATTATAATACTTGTACTATATGTATTTATACATAAATGTGGAAACATAGATTATAATTTAATTCTAGCTAAGATGACATTGCATGCATGTGGTTTTTATTCAATGAAGTTTAGGTTTGAATCTCTTTGCATGCATTTTTAATTTAATTGAATGATGATGTCGCACGATGGTAAAGGTTGTTGAATGATGATGTGGCGTAATACGGGTGTAAGAAGGAGTACACGTGGCACATACACAATTTTATAAACGCCTTTTAATATATAGTATAGATTTATTTTGATTGCTGGGTTAGAATATATATTCCAATTTTTTATAAGTATTTTATTGTTGCATTGGTTATTATTAAGTAAACGAATAACAAGAATTTTACCCCAAATCTTAACTTTTTTTTGCTCTATCTAATTAGTTTTTTTTTTTTTTTTTGTTAGTATTATTATTAAAGTTCTACTTAATTAGACGTTACCGACAGCCCCGTTAAATCTGTCAGAATTCACTGCTGCGGATTTTATGAAAACCACAACAACCAAATACGGTAATCAATAAGTCAAACTTCACATGTTTCTGAGGTTGTTTTTAATTTTCAACAATTGGCTGTCGTCAAGCACCATCTATAAATTCAGTTCATTTCAATGTAAATTTTTAGATGTATAATTTTTATTTTATAGGGTTGCTATACTATTCCATTCCAATGTTTGGTAAAAGCATTTTGTTGTTCCTTTTGTTACAAATAAATATATAAAACAATTTTCCATCCCCAAAAGTTAATTCTATCTTCGCTCTAGTAAATTAAAGTTCTAGTTAGACATTACCACCAGCTTCGTAAAAGCCGACAGAAAAAAGCTATTGCGGATTTCATAAATATCACACATTCAAGGTAAAGTAAATCAAACTTTGCATTTTATTTATTTATTTATTTATTTATTTATTTTTTGTGTTTTACCTATTGGCTTTTGCCAAAGTTCATGAATCGGATTCATTTTATTGTAAATTTTTAGACAACTGTAAAAGGTAAGTCAAACTTACCCCAAAAGTGTGTTACTCTAAGTGTGTTACTCTATCTCCACTCTAGATAGATATATATATATATATATTTTTTTTTCAACTATAAATTCTAGTTAGCGTTACTACCAACTTTGTAAAATCCGCCTATAATCATTGATGCACAATCTATAGATACCACAAAAGCCACATAATGTAAATGATAAATCAAACTTATAAAAAGATAAAATAGAGTTTTACACATTATAATGTGGACGGAATTAGATTCATTTCAATGTCTATTTTGATGGTTTAAATTCACTTCATTAAGAGGAATAATTTTAACACAAAGACCATTAAAAAAAGTTGTAAGAATTTTAGAATGGAGTAAAAAAAATTCCATTAGCATCAAATCGAGTAGTATAGTAGCTATTCTGATTTCATCGAAGCGGAAGTCCCAACAAATTTCACAAAACTCCAAAATAAGGAAAAAATAAAATTGAAAAAGAAATAACAAAATTGAAAAAAAAAAATTCAGAAAAATAAATAGACCCAAAAACAAAAATGAAAGTATTATGAAACATTTCAAATTCCGAACGGTTTTTTAAGTTTCGGTGAGTGGTTTTCTCTCTTCATTTTCCCACTCTCTTTTAATTTCTTCTTATCTTCCATCTTTATATTCCTTTGTTATCATCGTCACCTTCACTAATCTTAATTAACCAAACACTAATCACGTGATTAATTTAATAATCACCAAAAGTTGTACCTTTAATCATAGTTTAATCAAACAATTAGATTTGATTCTGTTTTTTAAAGATAAGGAATATATATAATCCTTACTTCTCTTCCTACATTCTCTATAAATTTTGTTGTTAGATTTTGCAAGTGGTAATAAAAGAAACACAAACATTTTAATTTATACTATAAGGTCACTTTCATGAAATAATTAGCAAGTTGTTATTATCCATATCCAGATGGTTTATGTTGCATTTTCTCTCTCCTAAAAAAAGAAAAATTCTCCTTTTTTTTGCTTCCTTAATTCACTACCAAAAATATTTTCTCCATCATTTTCATTATCCGTACTGTACAAATTCACTCTTTTTCTCTCTCCCTTACCAACTTACCCACCTAAAAGGTTTTTTTTTTCTTTTTGAAAGGATTTGATGGGGTTGAAGAAGGAATTGGTAATGCATGGTGAAGATCTGCAAAATTTTGACGTCGTTGCGGGGGAAGGAATCAAGGATAGTGAGGAGGAGATCTGGTTTGAAACCGCCTCACACCCATTTGAGAGTAACAATAATGATGAAAACAAAGATGCTAATATGAGCAATGAGAATGATTTTTTAGATGTGGATGTTAGCGATCCATCATCTTTGTTCTATGCTGATTTTCCACCACTTCCGGAATTTCCTTGCATGTCCTCATCCTCCTCCTCATCCTCGACTCCCGTCGCTACGGTGGCGCCGAAGCCTTTAGGGGTGTGTTCCACCGCCACTACGTCTTCCTCCGCTTCCACGGCGTCGTCCGGGGCGGCGTCGTGGGCGGTGTTGAAGTCCGATGCGGATCAAGACCCGGAACCGGTTACGGATCATGATTTGGTTCAGCGGGTGGAGGAGAGGGAGATTTTGATGGATGATGTTGATCATTGCATGGATATGATGCAGAATTTTGGGTGCATAGACATGCTTGAGAATACTGATATTTGTTGGGACCCGTCGCCGTTGTTCGAGGATAACAACGGCGATGAGAATGAGTGTAGTCAGTATCAGTTTCTACAGCCGGAGGAGGTGTTGGTGAATCGTCAAATAGTTGATGAAGATGAAGAAGAAAGAGTGTTTGAGCAGTTGATGCAACAACAACAAAAGGGTGGTGAGAATAGTAATACTACTATTGAAAATAATAATAATAATAATAATTCTACTAGTGGGGTTGTTAGTGGTGGTATGGGTGGTCAGAATAGTGGTGAACCGGGTTCGTCGACGGATGATCTTGCTTTGGTGTTCTTTGAGTGGTTGAAGAGTAACAAGGAGGCGATATCGGCCGAGGATTTGAGGAATATTAAGATCAAGAAGTCTACGATTGAGAACGCTGCTAAGAGATTGGGTGGTGGGAAAGAAGGGATGAAGCAATTGCTTAAGTTGATACTTCAATGGGTGCAAAATCATCATTTACAAAATAAGAAAATGATGATGAGTGGTGAAGATAATGAGTTTCATGCTGTTAATACTGGTAGTGGTAGTATTATGATTAACAATAATAATCATAATAATCAAAGTTATTCAATTCAAGATCACAAGAATGAGAATGCTACTACTAGTGATACTAGTGCAGCAAACCCTAGTTGTGCACCCGAGTCGCAGTGTTTTAGACTAACTACGTGGCTTCCGGCTCCACCACCGCCTCAATCGTATGTTAGTGAGTCCCCCGTGATGGTCCCTATGACGGCCCCACCACCTCCCCCGGGGTTCCCACCCACGATTGGGTACATGGGTGGGGATCCGTATGGGGGTGGTAATCCGACGGCGGCATACCCACCTATGCCGCCATCGGATTACCATACATGGGGACCCACCCCGATGCAATACGGGATGAGTCCCCATTACGGGGGTTACCCCGATGCAGCAGCCCCGTTTGGAGGGTATCCAAACCCTCCTCCATACCCGGGGTTCTACTATCACCCCGGTCCAACCGAGGGGCTAGTGAGGCTCGGGTCCTCGGCCACAAAGGAGGCTCGGAAGAAGAGGATGGCGAGGCAGAGGAGGTTCTTTACTCATCACCATAGGAATTCTAATCATAATAATCATCATCAACATCAGAATAATGGTAATAATAATGGAAATGTTGTTAATCAACAAATGATGATGAGTCAAATGGCAGAACAGCAGCATGCAGCAGCTGTTGTAGGGAATGGGAATTGTGGTGTTGTTGCACCACATGGGAATTGGGTGTACTGGCCACCTCCACCTCCTCCACAAGTCGTGGCGCCTCAACAAGTGAACCACCCCGGTCCTATGGTTGGGCAGATGATGCCGCCGCAGCCACCCATTGAGAGGGCTGCGAACGGCTATCAGAAGCAAGTTGGGATTGAGAAAAAACAGGTGAGTGAATTTAGGTTTTTTTTTTTTTTTTTTTATTTATTCTTGTTTTATTTTTAGAATTGTGATTGAATTGATTAAATTTCTTGCGGTGCAATTTGGGTTGTATGGAATAATATTACAAGTATTGTTGTTTTATTATTGTTGATTATTGTTTTCCCTAGAAAGTTTAAAATTAACTTTATTTTCATGGGAAATGAACATTGATTTAATTTAATTTAATTTAATTTATACTCGTATTATTAATGAGTTAATTTTTTAACAACAGGGATGGAAAACAGAGAAGAATTTGAGATTTCTTCTACAAAAAGTATTGAAGCAAAGTGATGTTGGTAATCTAGGGAGGATCGTCTTGCCTAAGGTACTAATTATTATTTTGTGATGATATCGCTTGATTGTATGTGTTTAATTTTGTTCTTGCTTACTCGCGATAATATTATTAATAACATAATTTAATTTGGTTTGTTCTTGATTATTAAATCAGAAGGAAGCAGAGACTCATTTGCCAGAACTGGAGGCAAGGGATGGAATCCCTATTGCCATGGAAGACATTGGTACCTCGCGTGTGTGGAACATGCGTTACAGGTATAATTACATATTGTTTAACAAAATATTGTCTTCGTTAATTTTAAAGCATTGTTCAAGTAATCCTTATCTTCTCGATGAATGGTTAAATCTGACAAAAAATTGGTCTTTCGTGTTTCTTTTTGGAGCGTCAGGTTCTGGCCTAATAACAAAAGCAGGATGTATCTCCTTGAGAACACAGGTACGTATCAACATATGATCAATAATGGTTAGCAATATTACTTGCCGGAATTTTTTAAAATAATGATCGGTGTTTATTTCATCGGATATTTCAGGGGATTTTGTGAGATCAAATGGACTACAAGAAGGGGACTTCATTGTTATCTATTCAGATGTAAAATGTGGCAAATATGTATGTATCTCTTTTCCTTTGTCCTTCCTACCAACTTGTATATACGTAGTACGGAGTACTATGTAATCTATTCAGATGTTTAATGTGGCAAATCTTTATTTTGTTTGTGTTTCTCTTTAGTCCTCATTATTGTCTATCTTTCTTCCTGCAACTTGCACCATATGATTTAATTTACCACTTGCAACCTTAAAAGTAGAAAAGTGAACAGCTTCTATTGATATCTTCAATAGTTGCATATACTTGTATTATAGGTAGTACATTAAATTTTCCAGTTATTATTTGTAAACAAATAATTATGTCTTGGGTTCGATTTTGATTTCCACAAATTAATTGTACATAAAAAATTACCTATAGAATGAAAAACTAAACTTTTGTACATAATTTTTTGCTTTAATTTTTATAAATGTGAAAGTTGATTGCATTATCAAATTGTTCTCGTATTTCTGATATCACTTACGATATAGAAAAATAGCTTTTACTAGATAAAACTTGGTGTTATGAACCTCCTTTTGCCTTGGACCTTGATGAGAAATTAGTTCATCTTCCACTCTAATTTGTTTGATTATCCTCTTTAATATGCATTAATCTAATCAATCATGTCATGAGTTGATTTTTTTGGTCATTGGATGCTGTTTATTAATTTCTATTTTATTCACACAAGTTAATTTGATCATAGATTGTTGGTTTTACTTTTTTTTCCTGACTCAGTGAAACTGTTAGCTAAGCTAGGTTATTTGCAATCCTTGGTTATGTGACAGTATGAAATTTTTATTGTGTAAATTTTTTTTTTTTTTTTTGGTGAAGTGTAGAATATTTTCTAAAAGACCTCTAAAACTTATTTGAGATAATTTTTCCTTGTATGTTTGGTGAAAGGAGTGTCGCAATCTTCAAAGTATATATGTTGGTGAAACTCACATCATCAGTCTTATACAATAATTTGAATTAGATTTTTGTCAAAAATGTAATGTCGTCTTATGTTCTTTTCACTTGAATTATACGTTCCGATCCATTCTCTAATTGTGGTATGCTTTAGTGCTAATCGGCATTAGGGCAATGGGCATGTACTTAACATCTTCTATTGTGATTTACAGATGATTAGAGGAGTGAAAGTACGACCACAACAGCAAAGCGCGAAGCCTGAACTAACCAACAAGAAGTCAAACAAGACCCAGAAAACTGAACCAACCTCCTCCCCAGCTGGAAATGGGCCGTCCTCTTCTCCAACCGTTACTCAAAGTTAACTTCCTAGTTTGATTTATTGTTCATAAAACTCTTTTTCAGTAGAATAACATTGCAATTTCTACCCCTATGAGAGTGGTGATTAAGGCAATAAAAAACTCGTGGAGTGGTGGTTGCAAAAACCTTACATATAGGTATGTCACATCCAAAGAAGAAGGGTCAAGGAATATGATCGCAGTCATAACTGTTTTCGCGCTCTTAGTTTGGTGCTCGTTGATGTGGAGGAGATTATAGGTAAGAATCAACGGTTTTAGGCAGTTTTTGGAGGCGTTTGTATGTTGCAGTTTGTAATATTTTGTAATATGTCCGCCTTCGAATTGTGATGTGTTTACTATTGTAGATTTTGTGCTGCTGTTGCATGAAAAACTGAATGTAATTTGTGTAGTATTTGTGTGATAATAAACATGTAGATGCGGTTATAAAGTGAATCTAATTTGATACTCCGTATTTTTTTTGTGAACATTTGGTTGAATTACTTCTGTTGATTGTGCATATTATGTTTACAAATTACAAGTCCATCATACCAAGGGACTTCCCATATCATTTTTTTTTCCTCAATTGAAGAATTTTTCTAAACTGTTGACGACAATTGCGCATTTGTGCCATTGATCATTGTACCAAGGAGAAGAACTATAGGGTTGATCATGTAATCGTTGCATTAGTGAATTTAATCATATAAGGTTGCAGTAATTTGTAAAACTTAATTTAATAGGGGAAGATGAATGGAAAGTTAGGATTTGAGCTCATAATCTTCATGGTACGAAAGTAAAGGTTATCTTCTGATCTTATTTTGGTGATTGCTTACTTTTCACTAGAGCATGGCCGGAGGTAATTCATGATCCATAGTTTTCCTTTGTATGTAAAGAATGTGGTTAGTTAATGATATATATATGGAGTACTTCGTATTACTCACTCTGATTTTTAAAGTTGTTTCATTTTTAACGGTAGCAAAATGGGTACTTTAACGGTAGTAAGTAGTAATTGACAAATTTTTCTTTTACTTTTTATATTGCATTTTACTACTCCGCCAGTTCACGATATTCTTCATATTACTTACTCTGGTTTTTAAAGTTGTTACTCGGTCAGTTACTACTGTTGAAAGTACCAAAGTCTGATTTTAAGTCACTTTTACTAGGATATAACGTCATTAATCATTTATTGATGCTAAAATAACCCCTAGAATTATTTATTGAAATAACGATGTCATGTTTCCATGAAAGTGGCCGAAAATCGAATTTCGGTTGTAGTTTTAAATACAATGGGTGACTTTTTTTTTGTTGAAATTTGCAAAAGTAAACTTTGATGGTTGTAACATACAAAATGAGAGTTAAGCACAAATTCAGGTACTCAATTCTACTTTTTTTCACTGTTTAGGTACTAGATTTTTTTTTGCTTTGCTTTTGGGTACTGAGTTAAGATTTCCGGCCAAAAAAATAATTCAGCCTAAGAATTCAGTACCTTTGGTTAAAGAATTCAGTACCTTGATTAAATGAAAGTGGGCCCCACCCGATTAAAAAAATTCGCGGGTCAACCCTTTACTTTTTCCCCTTCTTATTCTTTATTCCCCCTTAATTCTTTCCATTTCTGGAAATATTCGTTGCGCATAAGTCGAAGAACACGAGCAGCTACATTCGAATCTGGGGAAAACGACAGCGAAAGCCGCCATTTTTTTGAGGTATGCTTACTTACTCATGGTTTTTGTTGTTAATTTGATATAAATTTTGATTTTTTTGCCCAATTGATGATGGTAATTGCGACTTAGGATTTTACGTTTTTTGGGTTTTTTTTTTTAATCGAAATCAAAATGTCGATTTCTTGTGTTTTTTGTGTTAAATTTGTTGTTGTGTTGTTGTTTGTTGTTGTATTAAGCTTGTGTTGTTGGTGGATGTTGATTGCATGTTGATTATTTATGCTCTAAGGTTTGATTTGTTGATCAGTTTTACGCACTAAAACAAGGGAGGTTTTAGTACACCTTGATATCCTTTGCATAGCCTTTCTGTTACAGTGGCAACTGTCCATGATTTGAAGCTTACTGTTTCTGTTTTTCCAATTTGTGGCTGGTATACTGAAGAAGCAGCAACAGGGGAAGAACCTAGCAATGTTTTGATTTTTTTTTTAAATTTTATTTTTAAAAAATTTGGGAAAACCTTGTTGCAGAATTTTTGCCTAAATAGACATGGTGAATGAACCTGTTTTGATGATATTTGTTGCTGGTATACTGCTAAACTTCTGTGTTGCTGTTTTTTATTATTATTATTATTGAAATTGAATCAGGGAAAATCATTTTGGATGAATTTTGGTTGAGAAAACATGGTGAATCTGCCCTACAGTGATGCTAGTGTTTGCAGGTGTTTTCATGGCATTTTTTGACCAAGTTCATGCCCCTTAAAATAAAGTAATAATGGCTAGTTTCTGAGTCAAAGTTAAGAATTTTTTTTTAAATATTAATTTTTTAATTAGGTATGGTTAGTGATGAGTTAGTGTTGAGTTAGTTCACCTGAAAATCACTTTGAGTACCCAAAAGCAAAGCAAAAAAAATTGAGTACCTAAAAAGTGAAAATTAGAAGAATTGAGTACCTAATTGTACTCTTAACTCACAAAATGAGAGCTTTCACTAGTTGTAATTGATAAATTTTCTAAATTAAAATAAATAAATAAATAAATAGTTAGGTCATGTCATAAGTGGTTTTGATTCAAATATTCAATAGTCACTGTTGAATATTTGACTCAAACCACTCATGATGATTCAAAATTTGATTTGGATCAAATTGGGCCGATTCTTAGGGGCAAAGCTTGGCCCGACTGCGTAATGTAGGGATGGAGTGTTAAACCTTTTTCTCTCCGATTTCCTTAAAGAAAATAAATGAGATTTTTTAGTACTTCGTAATCGATTTTCTTTATTTTTATGATAGCATATTAGAATTTTAATATTCAAAATAGTAAATGATTTATTTGGTAAATGTTTGAATTTGGTAAACCATACTCAATTTATTCATTTTCATCTGCTCAAATGCTATAATTTTTAGGAAATTAGTGTTTGAGAAAATTAAAATAACTCATTTGAGTATGATTTACCTAAAATTATAGTGTTTGAGGCAGTCCTATTTTAAAAGAGTTTGGGTTAGAAGAAGAATACAAGGTTGCCCGTTGAAAAGGTGGGGTGTGAGACAAATCAAATCCAAGGCCATGTGTACGAAGTGTGTAAAAGACAAATGACTTACCGCTTAATATTTAAAATAGACGAGTTCATTACTAACCGAGCACATATATATATAAGTCCGTCAATGTTATATTAAGGATAAAACGCATCATTAACACGATAATCACAATAACTTTGATCTTGATAAGTGTCTTGTTACAATAAGTATGTATCTGATTGAAAAAACTGATATTATTATTATATCATCTTGTGTTAAACACTAGAATAATTCATTTTTTTTGCAGCAACAATCTGCCTTCGTACCTATTTCATAACCAAAACATCTTCCTCCCAATTTATAACCATCTTTAACGCAACTTGCTGAACACATTTGACGTTCTTCTGTACATCCGGAACATTTGTTGTTGCACACATACGAAGATTTTATGACGCCCCCTCTAGTCAATGGCAACCCTTTCAATAAAAGATTTATTATTAATATCAACTCGGAAAGGAAAAAAAAAACACGTAATGCACAATACAATAATCAATTTTTTTAAGTGTATCCTCTTTATCCAGCCAAGTCCAGCCAAGTCATTGTAATAGCAAGTTGAACTGAAATAACCTTAATTTATCTAAATGTAATTTTTTTAATATAAACAAATGAACAATCATGGCTTCATGGATTAGCTTAAAGCTCATTTTAACATAGTAGTCCCTTGAACATTTTGGACAGCCAATTCAAAGCAAATATTGGAGTATATATTAAAAGCAACCTAAATCAAATCACAAAACAATTAGTAATTTTTTTTTTTTTTTTTTTTTTTTGAAACCAAACAATTAGTAATTTGAAGTAGAAAAGTCTAAGCTAAAATGAAGTAAATGCGTTACCTGTGGTGATGAATAAAGCAACGAGAAAGAACGTAACGAATAGTGTAGAACTTTGAGCCATGACCAACTTTTTGAGGAGGGCTTCTTTAAAGTTAAGAGTTGAGAGTTAAGAGTTAAGAGTTTGTATGTTCAAATATCAATATAATGCATGATTGAGGTTATTCAAGGAAAAAATATCGAATGTTAAGTAATTTTAATTTTATTTTTTTTTGGATAATTCTATATAAGCATTAAATACACTTGTATTAAATGCTTATATGTAACCCTAAGGGTTATGTACAACATTTTTCATTTTTTTTTATTTGTTTTACGTATATATGGAAATATGTTTTTAAGAATTGATTTTATTTTTTTTTCATTGGGCCGAGCAGAAGCCCATATTTAAAAAAAAAAAAAAAATGATTACATATAAGGTCAATAGAGTTCAAGTGTAAAATTAAACTTACTTCGTATTATTGATATAATCCACCAATCTTATATCATGTTGGTCCCTCTTCCTCAATTTATGTATTTGGAATAAGTAATTTTAACTCACACATGGATAGTTTTCTTTACACTGAAGTGTCTTAGAATATGAATAGGTCGCAAACTTTCTTGTTTGCTCTCTAAGCTTCTTATGTAATGTCAACAAGTCCCTACTTGAGGCAATCACAATTTTCTTAGGTTAGTCACTTTACATAATCATTCAAACAATTTCCATTATAGTGCATTGCATTCTCTAGTCATTGGGCTCTCCCTAAGTGGATGTTGATGATGGATTGTTTGCTTTTGAAATCATGTTTAATACAATCAAATGAAGCTTATGATGGTATCAAAATCTAGTTCATGATGTATTTAGTATACTTTAGGCCTGATTGAATGGATCTATGTGAAGGTAAGTGTTGAAAGTGCACTTAAGCCCATGAAATACTTCATGTGAGTAAGGCAGAGCAAAACTACCCGAAAACCTGAAAAATCGATCCGTAACCGTTTCGAAAATTAGGGTACCCGATCTGATAACCATAACCATTCGGAACCCGTTCCGATAATTTGTTATCAGGTATGGTTATTGGGTATCATTTTAAAATTAACGGTTACCGATCCGTTCCGATAAGCATTTTTTTCTTTTTTTTCCTACTTAAATCTAATTTTTTAAATCTAAACTCTTTACTTTATAATTATTTTATAATTACTTTATTTATAATTACTTTATAATATCAATAATTAGTAATATTATTAATAATTTGGTCAAAATCATATGATATTGTTGTTAATTAGTGGTAAATTATATCATAATAACTACATAATTAAGTTTAATTATCATTATTGGAAATCTTATTGGGTAACCGATAACCGATCCGAAAATTCGGGTACCCGAACTTATTGGTTCGGGTTATGGATATCACTTTTAGAGATTTTGGTTATCGAGTATCCGAACCGTTAGTACTAATGGTACGGGTATCCGTCCCATGCTCACCCCTGCATGTGAGTGCATTTAAAAGGTTTCTCATGTATGAAAGGGAGTGTAGAGTATAAATTTTA